CTGATTTCAAAACACTCACCTGCTTTCTAACTATTTATATGGACTATTACAATTAATAGTATATGCCTAGTTCATGTTTATCCATTAATATAAATCGACAGCCTCTGTGACCATTTTGCATCTTCCCTTATTACATTCTTTTATTTGGAATTAGATTTTTATCCATTAACATATAATTATACCTTTTCACTTTAATTTCAGGCAATGGAAAAACAAATTCGTCAAGAAATGGATGCCAGTGCGGAAAAGGCAAGATCTGATCCAATTGCCGCAGATGACTTTGCACTTGATGTAGTTTACCATCAGCCTCCTCCAAATTACAAAGTGCGTGGTTGTGATATCTTTACCTGGAAATCGCATTCCTAATACTCTTTGAAGGAAAGACGGATTGTGCGACCTGTATATGCGTCAAGTACGCACTACTTGTATTTGTATCTACTGTTCTTTTCGTGCTCTATATTTGTGGCCTCACTTCTTTAAATAGTACATTAATTCCAATATTTTATTGATTCTCCACTTTTAGAAATACTTAATGTATGAAAATGATCTCTAAATCAAGGTCGTCTGACTTTGGATGACTACATTTTAACAAAAACTACCTTTTCAATACAATTCATTCCCCTTTTCCTGTATCTTATTATTTGTAGTATTATTAACTTACTACTTCATACATTTTTTGTCTCAGCTAGTCTTCACGGTCGATCGTATTTTATATATAACGCAAAACGGTAAAACAATCATTATTCTTAAGCTGCTATTTAAATTTACAGTTTGACCAAATCGTTTTCATAATTAAGCTTGTTAGACTATATGATCCGGCATAATATACACATTATTGTGTAGGTGAAGGACGCGCTAGAGTCTGTCGAGTATTGAAATTGGTGCATTTTATGCATAGCCTTGGGCAAAAGCATTATAAGCTCATTGCCGCTTCACTGAGCAGAGCTCCTAGGCTCTGATTGCTATACTTGCAGATATCAGGCTTTCCCTTCACAGGTCGTCTCCTTGATTAAACCCATGTTATCTGAGCAAACTGTGGACGCCTATCTCTGGCAGCATGCGGCATCTCAAGTGGATTTTTACTACATTTTGACCATAAAGCTGAATTTCTGTTATGGCTTGCTTATCCCTCTGCCTAGCTCCCTGACTGCCAGGTCCACAAAGTAGTACGGGTTAATTCGAACGGACATCACTCACTGACAATGTCTTCGCTTAATTGACAAAATTCCCTGCTCCCCATATTCCTCATCGCGATCCATTTTCTCTCGGTTGGGGATAGATCCCTGATCCAGGCGTCTTCTTTTTGCTGATATACTAAACAATGACCCAACTGAGGAGATCAATGAAATCTTAATTGACATGCTGAAGCATCTGCATAAGACCGGGGAAATTCACGTATGGACAAGAAATTCAATCGTAAGAAAGGATGCATGACCAACAGACTACAGATGACCGAAGATACACAAAGAAGGCGAGCCACTAAGGCTGATAGTTAATAAAAAGTATGAGCAGCACAAATTGGCAAAGTTCATAGGCTCAAACTTTAGAAAATAAATGAGAGGCTATCTAACATTTTGAAGCATTCATGAATTTTCTCAAAAAATCAAAAATATGGCACTGGAAGAAACGGACTTATTGGTAAGTTTCGATGTGGAATCGATGTATCCAAATATCTCTGGAGAAAATGCGTTAACGGTCCTGCTGGAAATCCTGGACGGAGAGGAGGATATCCTGGGATCACAACGGATCGGTAGGGAGTCGTTAACAAGACTAATCAACTTGACAATATGGACAACCTATATTACTTTCGATGGGAACATCTATGAACAAATATTTGTACTTCCCATGGGATCGCGGCTCTCGCCACTTTTGGCAAACGTATACATGAACAAAATAGAAGATGGCACCACTACAACCGGCAGTACTCATGCGGTACCTGGATGATTACTATTCACTTTGGTCACACGGAAGAGAAAAACTGGAAGAGTTTGTTAAGTTTATAAACCAAATTTATGGAAAATGTAACTTCACGATGGAAGCAGAGGAAGGTGAGCGGTTACTGTTCTAGGATGTTGAAATGATCCGCCTTGATGGGACGGCCAAAAAGAAACGGTTAGAAAGAAGTCTTATGCTGGGATAATATTCAATTCGAGGTCCCATAACAATTACAGGCTAAAGGCAGGAATAATGAGGTGCATGATCATCCTAAGCCCACGCTTAACGGATGCAGAATTCTGGGACGCTTAGTTGGACAAAGTGATTAGGATATTCCTCGGAAATGGGTATCCAAGTGAAGTAATAAGAAGAAACATACGGGCCGTGAAAAAGCTGATGGCATAACGGAGACTGAAAGAACAGTAGGACGATGAAGTATTAACAAAAGTCGATATGTCTGCGAAATAGCTCAAAAACTACGGCAATATTGAGGAAATTGAATATTCGAATGATCATGAAAGAAAAATCAACACTTTTCACAAGTCTACCGACGCAACATAAAATGGTAGACAAATATGATTGTTCAGGAGTTTATTATATATCATTCGGCGCGTGCAAACAGAAATATATTGGCGGAACACGGAGAAAAATTAGCATACTAATCAAGGAACATCAAAGACTGCAGGAAAATGGATACCGAAAGATCAGAATTAGCGGAACACAATCCATAGACTGGACACGAGATCAATTTGGACGCAGCAAAAAGAAGAACCTCATATGGCGACAACACAAGGGAGCGGAAGATCAGGGAGGCCATTGACATGCTTGAGGAGAAAAATCTAATGAACAGGAGATTGGTGAAAAGTAGAGTTAGCGATAACTTTGCCCACTGCTTAAGCAAACTCGGGGGAAACAAGAATAGATCAAGACCAGCAAAAGGAGACGCCTGTATCTGGGATCTATCGCTAACCGGAGAAAAAGGGATCGCGATGAGGAAAGTGAGGGGTGAGAAATTCCGGCAATCAAGCAAAGACATTGTCAGTGAGTCATGGCCGTTCGATTTAACCCGTACAAATTTTGGGGCATTGCAGTCAGGGCGCTAGGCAGACGAATAAGCAAACCGTCACAGAAATTTGACTTTATGGCCAAAATATAGTAGAAATCCTCTTGAAATTCAGCATGCGACCAGAGTTTGCTCAGGTTACACGGGCTTAATCAAGGAGACGATCCATGAAGGCAAAGCCTGATATCTGCAAGCATGGGAATCAGAGCCTAGGCGCTTTGCTCGGTGAGGTGGCAGTGTACGTACTTCTAGGGTCTTGAGTAATAGCGTCCGGAGTAAAATGCACACTGGGACTGGAACCGAGTGAAATCGGTCAACCAGAAAGATTAGGAACGGATCTACGAGACAATGAGGGGATCCGGATTGGAGGCCCTAGTCGGATTATCCGATCGACAGAGAAGGAGTCGGGTTGAATGACAAGTGTGGTGAGGCCACACTAGATTTGCCACAAAAGGTCACACATTTTGACGAGTGAAAATTTAACAAGTCAAAAGTTGTGATAGGGTAAGAGTTGGATAAGAGGGTAGAGAGTAGATAGGCTAAGACAGAAAGAAGAGTATTAGTGCAACCGTTT